ACACTGGTAGATAACACCCGTGTATCTACTATACACTGGTAGATAACACCCGTGTATCTACTATACACTGTAGACAACACCCGTGTAGGTACTATACACTTCTAGGTAACACCCGTGTATCTACTATACACTGGTAGATAACACCCGTGTATCTACTATACACTGTAGATAACACCCGTGTATCTACTATACACTTCTAGATAACACCCGTGTGTCTACTATACACTGGTAGATAACACCCGTGTATCTACTTTACACTGGTAGATAACACCCGTGTATCTACTATACACTGGTAGATAACACCCGTGTAGCTACTATACACTGGTAGATAACACCCGTGTATCTACTATACACTGGTAGATAACACCCGTGTAGCTACTATACACTGGTAGATAACACCCGTGGAGCTACTATACACTGTAGATACCACCCGTGTATCTACTATACACTTCTAGATAACACTCGTGTAGCTACTATACACTGGTAATTAACACCCGTGTAGCTACTATACACTGGTAGATAACACCCGTGTATCTACTATACACTGGTAGATAACACCCGTGTATCTATTATACACTTGTAGATAACACCTGTGTGTCTACTATACACTGGTAAATAACACCCATGTATCTACTATACACTGGTAGATAACACCCGTGTAGCTACTATACACTGTAGATAACACCCGTGTAGCTACTATACACTGGTAGATAACACCCGTGTATCTACTATACACTGGTAGATAACACCCGTGTATCTACTATACACTTCTAGATAACACCCGTGTGTCTACTATACACTGGTAGATAACACCCGTGTAGGTACTATACACTGGTAGATAACACCCGTGTATCTACTATACACTGGTAGATAACACCCGTGTGTCTACTATACACTGGTAGATAACACCCGTGTATCGACTATACACTGGTAGATAACACCCGTGTAGCTACTATACACTGGTAGCTAACACCCGTGTATCTACTATACACTGGTAGATAACACCCGTGTATCTACTATACACTGGTAGATAACACCCGTGTATCTACAATACACTGGTAGATAACACCCGTGTAGGTACTATACACTGGTAGATAACACCCGTGTAGCTACTATACACTGTAGATAACACCCGTGTATCTACTATACACTGGTAGATAACACCTCTGTAGGTACTATACACTGGTAGATAACACCCGTGTAGCTACTATACACTGTATATAACACCCGTGTATCTACTATACACTTCTAGATAACACTCGTGTATCTACTATACACTGGTAGATAACACCCGTGTATCTACTATACACTGTAGATAACACCTCTGTAGGTACTATACACTGGTAGCTAACACCCGTGTATCTACTATACACTGGTAGATAACACCCGTGTATCTACTATACACTGGTAGATAACACCCGTGTATCTACCATACACTGTAGACAACACCCGTGTAGGTACTATACACTTCTAGGTAACACCCGTGTATCTACTATACACTGGTAGATAACACCCGTGTAGCTACTATACACTGTAGATAACACCCGTGTATCTACTATACACTTCTAGATAACACCCGTGTGTCTACTATACACTGGTAGATAACACCCGTGTATCTACTTTACACTGGTAGATAACACCCGCGTATCTACTATACACTGGTAGATAACACCCGTGTAGCTACTATACACTGGTAGATAACACCCGTGTATCTACTATACACTGGTAGATAACACCCGTGTAGCTACTATACACTGGTAGATAACACCCGTGGAGCTACTATACACTGTAGATACCACCCGTGTATCTACTATACACTTCTAGATAACACTCGTGTAGCTACTATACACTGGTAATTAACACCCGTGTAGCTACTATACACTGGTAGATAACACCCATGTATCTACTATACACTGGTAGATAACACCCGTGTATCTATTATACACTTGTAGATAACACCCGTGTGTCTACTATACACTGGTAAATAACACCCATGTATCTACTATACACTGGTAGATAACACCCGTGTAGCTACTATACACTGTAGATAACACCCGTGTAGCTACTATACACTGGTAGATAACACCCGTGTATCTACTATACACTGGTAGATAACACCCGTGTATCTACTATACACTTCTAGATAACACCCGTGTGTCTACTATACACTGGTAGATAACACCCGTGTATCTACCATACACTGTAGATAACACCCGTGTATCTACTATACACTTCTAGATAACACTCGTGTATCTACTATACACTGGTAAATAACACCCGTGTAGCTACTATACACTGGTAGATAACACCCGTGTAGCTACTATACACTGGTAGATAACACCCGTGTATCTACTATACACTTCTAGATAACACCCGTGTGTCTACTATACACTGGTAGATAACACCCGTGTATCTACTATACACTGGTAGATAACACCCGTGTAGCTACTTTACACTGGTAGATAACACCCATGTATCTACTATACACTGGTAGATAACACCCGTGTAGCTACTATACACTGGTAGATAACACCCGTGTAGCTACTATACACTGGTAGATAACACCCGTGTATCTACCATACACTGTAGATAACACCCGTGTATCTACTATACACTTCTAGATAACACTCGTGTATCTACTATACACTGGTAAATAACACCCGTGTAGCTACTATACACTGGTAGATAACACCCGTGTATCTACTATACACTGGTAGATAACACCCGTGTATCTACTATACACTTCTAGATAACACCCGTGTGTCTACTATACACTGGTAGATAACACCCGTGTATCTACCATACACTGTAGATAACACCCGTGTATCTACTATACACTTCTAGATAACACTCGTGTATCTACTATACACTGGTAAATAACACCCGTGTAGCTACTATACACTGGTAGATAACACCCGTGTAGCTACTATACACTGGTAGATAACACCCGTGTATCTACTATACACTTCTAGATAACACCCGTGTGTCTACTATACACTGGTAGATAACACCCGTGTATCTACTATACACTGGTAGATTACACCCGTGTAGCTACTATACACTGGTAGATAACACCCATGTATCTACTATACACTGGTAGATAACACCCGTGTAGCTACTATACACTGGTAGATAACACGTCGTGTAGCACCCGTACTATACACTGGTAAATAACACCCGTGTAGCTACTATACACTGGTAGATAACACCCGTGTATCTACTATACACTGGTAGATAACACCCGTGTATCTATTATACACTTGTAGATAACACCCGTGTGTCTACTATACACTGGTAAATAACACCCATGTATCTACTATACACTGGTAGATAACACCCGTGTAGCTACTATACACTGTAGATAACACCCGTGTAGCTACTATACACTGGTAGATAACACCCGTGTATCTACTATACACTGGTAGATAACACCCGTGTAGCTACTATACACTGGTAGATAACACCCGTGTATCTACCATACACTGTAGATAACACCCGTGTATCTACTATACACTTCTTGATAACACTCGTGTATCTACTATACACTGGTAAATAACACCCGTGTAGCTACTATACACTGGTAGATAACACCCGTGTATCTACTATACACTGGTAGATAACACCCGTGTATCTACTATACACTTCTAGATAACACCCGTGTGTCTACTATACACTGGTAGATAACACCCGTGTATCTACCATACACTGTAGATAACACCCGTGTATCTACTATACACTTCTAGATAACACTCGTGTATCTACTATACACTGGTAAATAACACCCGTGTAGCTACTATACACTGGTAGATAACACCCGTGTAGCTACTATACACTGGTAGATAACACCCGTGTATCTACTATACACTTCTAGATAACACCCGTGTGTCTACTATACACTGGTAGATAACACCCGTGTATCTACTATACACTGGTAGATAACACCCGTGTAGCTACTATACACTGGTAGATAACACCCATGTATCTACTATACACTGGTAGATAACACCCGTGTAGCTACTATACACTGGTAGATAACACTCGTGTAGCTACTATACACTGTAGATAGCACCCGTGTAGCTACTATACACTGGTAGATAACACCCGTGTATCTACTATACACTGGTAGATAACACCCGTGTATCTACTATACACTGGTAGATAACACCCGTGTAGCTACTATACACTGAAAGATAACACCCGTGTAGCTACTATACACTTCTAGATAACACCCGTGTATCTACTATACACTTCTAGATAACACCCGTGTGTCTACTATACACTTGTAGATAACACCCGTGTATCTACTATACACTGGTAGATAACACCCGTGTAGCTACTATACACTGGTAGATAACACCCATGTATCTACTATACACTGGTAGATAACACCTCTGTAGCTACTATACACTGGTAGATAACACCCGTGTAGCTACTATACACTGTAGATAACACCCGTGTAGCTACTATACATTGTAGATAACACCCGTGTATCTACTATACACTTCTAGATAACACCCGTGTAGCTACTATACACTGGTAGATAACACCCGTGTATCTACTATACACTGGTAGATAACACCCGTGTATCTACTAGACACTGGTAGATAACACCCGTGTAGCTACTATACACTGGTAGATAACACCCGTGTAGCTACTATACACTGGTAGATAACACCCGTGTATCTACTATACACTGGTAGATAACACCCGTGTAGGTACTATACACTGGTAGATAACACCCGTGTAGCTACTATACACTGTAGATAACACCCGTGTATCTACTATACACTGGTAGATAACACCTCTGTAGGTACTATACACGTGTAGATAACACCCCAAGCCGTACTCGCTGTTTAGAACACTGTGTATTGGGTATGGAAACATAAAACATTACCGACTGTTTTTAGTTTACATATCAATATTCAGAACTTTATGGCTGACTGTCTCAGTTTTCGCCAAAATCCATTTGCTCATTGATACATATCTGACTTCGCCTTCAGGACACATCCGTGATACAAGTTCAGGCTGAAGACGGCGACAGGGGTGTTCCTAACTCCGTAGAATACGCCATTATAGAAGGTAGGAATCTCTACTCTTCTGTAAACAGACGACAGGTAATTGAAGTCTGTCTGGATATCATCTGTTAAAGTATGTCATATGTCTTAGTATACTGTTTCTCCGTAGAGTTTTAGTGTAATGTTACATGTTACATCAAAAATTATACAGGCAACACGGAACTGTTCTTCATTGATGCGACTAGTGGCGTCATTACAACGAAGCAGTCTCTGGACAGGGAAGCACCCGACGTCATCGACGTCAACGGCGTGTTTGACCTTCTGGTACAGGTAAGGTCATCCGTGTCTGTTCCTGTCTCTGTTCGTCAACTCGACCTTGCTGCTTCGACGGCTGGCCCAGTGGTTATGGTACTGCAATCCGCAATGTACTAAATACAGGGCGTCGGTTCGATTCCCGTTCACAGGTATACCCGTATAACGAGTACTTTGTGAAACGATGTCCTAATTTACCGCCTAACGATAGCCCAAGTTCAGCTGTGACAGAGATGTCTGAAGTGTGGCGAAGTCGTGAAGCCATGCATTACTGGGAATCAGGCTATTTCTGCCTTAGTTGGTTTTAGGCTACAATACGTTATCATCGTTAAGTTTGGAGAGTCCAAGACCAGCTACTATTCCCATTACGAACGGTATAATTTACTATATGTACATGTAAGACAGTGATTACCTCCGCCATTTCCTCAGGCAACTGAACTGAACGAGACGTGGCCCCAGTACGGCAACATCACGAAGACTGTCAACGTCTACGCCACCGTGGAAGACGTAAACGACAACGCCCCCACTTTCAATACATCTACCCCCTATACGGCATTCGTCAGGAGCGACATCCCCGACAACTCGCTCATCTACTTTGAAGGAGATGGGTACATGCAAGTCTATGACAATGACCAGGTGATGTGCAAGCAGATTTAGGAATGACCTGTGCGAAAATGTTAAATAAATGTATAATGATTAACCCTATACTTAAAACCTAAACCCTAGCCCAAACATGTCCTACTTTTATGATACAGACCACGTTTTACTAAGCAATCGAAGAGCTGAGGTGATCGTATCTCCCATACTTCAACAATGACTTAGCGTTCCGATCGCCATGGGTTACAATAACTGTTCGTGGGCAATGTAATTCTGGTGAATGTTATTCCATGGCTAGTTAGCACATGGCAGGCAGTCTGTCAACGTCAATAATTCGAGTTATCTCCCCTTTTCGGGTCCTCGAGTCCTTGAAAATGGACTCGAGTCCAGCTAAACCCGACTCGTCCTCGAGTACTCGAGTACCCGTGGAAGCCCTAATGGCTATGACAGATATCATCACCTATTTGAAGTCAGTGAAGCTGTCAGGAATTGTTGCACAGAGGCCAAAGTAACAGTTCTGACCTTCTATTCAGGGGATGTGAAATATAGTACTCAAAAGACGTTAAAGAAAATCCCATTATTTTATACTACTATAGTTCAAATACCCTGCCACGACAGATCAGTTAGAGTAAAGAGGGTGGAATAAGTTGTTCTTCAACCTCTTTTCACTAGTATATTATCTCGAACCGCAAAAAGCAAACGCAACCAGGTAACATAACTCTAGTTTAATGCTCGAGGACGGTATAGTTATTGTCTTTTGTTAATTCAATGCTGCTTGAAGATTTTACGCTGGTGATTACCTAACTTGCCTTGGGCGCGTACAATTCAGTCTACATGTATGTTCCACCATTTGTAGTAGGCTACGTAACAGCAGTAGGAACTGTGTAATGTTGAACCACTAAGCGACGCTGTCTTCAAAACATGTAAAATGAATTTGGCATCTTTGATAGTTTCTGCTTTCTCAGTCGCAGCTCTGACGGTTATTTCTTGACTTTCAGACAGGGAAAAGTGCAACATTTGTATTGAGTATAGAACAAGGGGGACAACTCTTGACCATATTCGAACCCAGCCCGAGAGAAGTGTTCTCAGAGGCTAACGTTCTGATCAGAGTGGTGGACGCGTCGGCTCTTCGAGCTTTGGGACAGACGCACGTCACGTTTGAAGTAAGTTGACGAACATGATGCTGATAGTGGCATGACTACACGCTATATACAACACACATTACACATATACAAACACACAAATGCACATATGTAAACGGACATATATACACAGAATGTGTGTACACACAACACACATGGACACATATATAAAACACATGTATACATATATAAACACACATATATACATATATAAACGCACATATATACAAATATAAACACACATGTATGCATATAAGCGCACATATATAAACGCACATGTATGCATACATATATAAACGCACATATATACAAATATAAACACTCATGTATACATATATAAACACACATATATACAAATATAAACACACATGTATACATATATAAACGCACATATATACAAATATAAACACACATGTATACATATATAAACGCACATATATACAAATATAAACACACATGTATACATATATAAACACACATATATACAAATATAAACACACATGTATACATATATAAACACACATATATACAAATATAAACACACATGTATACATATATAAACGCACATATATACAAATATAAACACACATGTATACATATATAAACGCACATATATACAAATATAAACACACATGTATACATATATAAACGCACATATATACAAATATAAACACACATATATACATATATAAACACTCATGTATGCATATATAAACACACATGTATACATATATAAACGCACATATATACAATATAAACACACATGTATACATATATAAACGCACATATATACATATATAAACACACATGTATACATATATAAACGCACATATATACAAATATAAACACACATGTATACATATATAAACGCACATATATACAAATATAAACACACATGTATACATATATAAACACTCATGTATGCATATATAAACACACATGTATACATATATAAACGCACATATATACAATATAAACACACATGTATACATATATAAACGCACATATATACAAATATAAACACTCATATATACATATATAAACGCACATATATACAAATATAAACACACATGTATGCATATATAAACGCACATATATACAAATATAAACACACATGTATGCATATATAAACGCACATGTATACAAATATAAACACACATGTATGCATATATAAACGCACATGTATACAAATATAAACACACATGTATACATATATAAACGCACATGTATGCAAATATAAACACACATATATACAAATATAAACGCACATATATACACAACAAAGTAACATACATACACACACATGTATGCACAAGCCACGTATAAACGCAATATGTGAACGCACGTGTATACATTTGTAAATGAAGATCTATGCATACCGTATATGACCGTCTATGAGACGACCCCATGGATAAGACGACCCCCAAACTTGACCCTTAAAATCAGTGTCAAAATGGTATGTTTCGTGCATAAGTCGATCCCCCGCGATGGGGTCCTAATCGCGGCAAACACAGACCACAGACAACTGGCAGTTACCAATAATTATAACTTCTACAGACTGGTTTTTTTGGTCCTCAAAATTCGGCTTATAGACGGTCATATACGGTATATAAATACAGGCGTAAGGTGTTACAGTGGTCGTCAATGTTTCAGGTCATCGCTCGTGAAGTCAACACCGCGGAGAACTTTTTCGGCAAGGCCAGCGTCGTGTTGACGATAGAGAAGGTGGAGGAGCCGTCAACGACCGCGGCACCCCTGGAGGAGAACACCCTCACAACGTCGGACATCGTGGTCTTCGTCGTGGGTTTCCTGGTCCTCCTCAATGTCCTTACCTCCGTCACGATCTGCTTCCTGATGCGGGCCCGGAGTCGGAAGGAGGGCCTCAACAGGACCGGCTCCAAATACTACATAAAAAATCGTCCAACCAACGACTTCACCAACCACGGCCTCCACAACCCCAGCACCACCGAGATGGTGGAGGTCGACCCTGAGATATCGGTCTGCCCCAGGGTGGGGAATGGGGAGTTTGCTGAGTAACTGTTGGGATAGAGAGTTTAAAAAACCCGAGTTGGGGCCTGGTTAGAGAGTTCGGAGCGTACCGAGCGTAGTCGGGCTCAGGGAGTAGAAGGGGTTAGGGAGGGCTTAGAGAGAGTACGGGTTATGGGAGGGAGTAAGAGTACACGGATTATGGGAAGGATCAGGAAGCGCGCATTATAGGCGGGGTTAGGGAGTGTACGGAGCTTCGGAGGGGTAGGACGTATACTGGTTATATGAGGGGTAGGGGGTTTATCCGGATTAGGGGTAGGGGTGGGTGGGTGGGTTAGGGTTTATACGGATGGATTATAGGAGGGGTTAGGGTTTATACGGATTATGGGAGGGTTAGGGTTTATACGGATGGATTAAAGGAGGGGTTAGGGTTTATACGGATGGATTAAAGGAGGGTTAGGGTTTATACGGATGATGGGGGGGTTAGGGTTTATACGGATTATGGGAGGGGTTAGGGTATACGGATTATGGGAGGGTTAGGGTTTATACGGATTATGGGAGGGTTAGGGTTTATACGGATTTGGGAGAGGGTTAGGAAGTATACAGGTGATGGGGGTTAAGGGTTGATACGGATTATAGGAGGGTTAGGGTGTATACGGATTATGGGAGGGTTAGGGTTTATACGGATTATGGGAGGGTTAGGGAGTATACAGGTAATGAGAGGGTTAGGGTTTAAACGGATTATGGGAGGGGTTAGGAGGTTTATACGGATTATGGGAGGGTTAGGGTTTAGTATACGGATTATGGGAGGGGTTAGGGTTTATACGGATTATGGGAGGGTTAGGGTTTATACGGATTTGGGGAGGGTTAGGAAGTATACATGTGATGGGGGTTAAGGTTGATACGGATTATAGGAGGGTTAGGGTGTATACGGATTATGGGAGGGGTTAGGGTTTATACGGATTATGGGAGGGTTAGGGTTTATACAGTTTGGGGAGGGGGTTAGGGAGTATACAGGTGATGGGGGGGTTAAGGTTGATACGGATTATGGGAGGGGTTAGGGTGTATACGGATTATGGGAGGGGGTAGGGTGTGTACGGGTGATGGTAGGGGTTAGCGAGTATACGGATTATTGTAGGGGTACGGGAATATGGGCTGGATTAAGGAGAGTGAGGAGTAGGGGTGAATTGTTAGGCTGTTAGGCATTGTATACATACCGAATTATACTACAAGCAAGATCTGTGTGGAAATCATAATTAGCCTGTGATATATGTTTATACGTGGTTTATAAGAAATTGTATTAGGATCTTTTACTAACTTATGACGGCGTTCCTGGGCAATGTGTCACTATCAGACATGGAAGCGTTGTTGAGTTTGTCGTGTTTTTGTGATCTCAACGATTGATCGCATTATATATACGCATTGATTAGTTCAGAATTTCTTTTTAACTTTGTTGATATTTAACCCTGTGTATGTCTGGCCACTTTAGATCCGTGTGGAGTGATGTTTGATGTTTACAAGCGTGATGTCATGCTGTGTTGTTATACATATTTATCTAGCTACATCTCCGTCCACTCAGGTGTCGCTGGGAGCCTGACCGTTGTTGAACACCTTATAGTCATGCTGCATTTAGTCGATGGCATGGATGTGATTATGTTTTTTACCATAGCATTTTTGCAATAAGCAACGTAAAACACAGACAAGCAATCATTCTGATGAACAGCTTGCAATATAGTCATATTTATTCTCTTTTTCTCATAGCTTTTGAAAATACGTGTGTAATATTATTTTATTTCATATTTTTGCAAATCTTTATGCATATGTTCTATATCATCAATATCCCGTCCACAATACATACACCACAAAGTGAACGTTACTCACAGCCAACTGGCATGTGGAGACTATATATTATTCAGATTATACACACAAATAAATGGACACGGTTCTGTAAGAGTGCGGGGCGGTGGGGGAAGCCTAGTGGTTATAGCGTCCGTTTGTTTCACATGGGTACAATCTGTGACGCCCATTTCTGGGCCACCCGCCGTGATATTGCTGGAATATTGCTAAAATCGGCGTAAAACCAAACTCACTCACTCTGTTAGAATGTTTAATGCTACCTTTAAGGCTCTGTCAGGGAGGTGGAGTAGCATCGCTGTACAAACGTTTCAAAGTTTAAACTATTATGTTCATGACAAATATTTTGGGCAATTTATGTTTGGTATATTACAATATGCACTAAAATTAAGTTCGCATATACAAGGGTCCTATTTCAGCAATTATTTCTTTGTGCAGTCGTTATTGAAATTGTCAGGTTGATTGGTGTATTCCTCGTTATTTTATACCTCGTGAGGTAGGAATTTAATAACGATATGACATTGCTTGTGGATGTGTTGCCGACATAGTCACACCACATGTCCATGAATATGTACACGCAGCTAAAGAAAACATTTTACATCTCACCTGTTTAGTAAGACAACATATACAGACACTCGACAGGGTGCGGCTGTATCTACAACGAGATACTACTGGACACGTCCTGTAAAATGTCCGGTACAATTATTTGTGTTCATATACCCTCAGACGGACAGACAGATATTTTATTAAAGTCTCACTTCGTATGTACAATATAAAGCAATAGACAAGTCAATAAAACAACATCGCTCATGTCGATGGTGGTGGTACGTCGTCTACCGTTCCTGGCGCTGTCAGAAACCACACACCGTTTGATTTTGTAAACTCTTCCCAGGATGACTACATTTTCTCACAGAATTTACAATTTGATCATGGCCCCTGTGGCAGTCATATTAAGTGCTATTGTGACCCATTGCTCGGTCGACCATAGCTTGTGTATCATTATGGATCAATGTAATATTATATACGCAGTAAGTCTTGTAACATTGTATTTTATGTTTTGTATTTTTAACCCGGCAGTGACCTATTGTCGCCACTATACAAATATAAATGGGGATTTTCTGTGACACTCAAATTTTGGTTTAGCGTTTCAACGAGTCATTTTCGTGTATTGATGTGTAATAAAATGTACAGGGCTTTATGTTTGGTGCGTGGAAGTATTATTTCATCATGGAGCATTTTGATTATATAGCTTATCACGACGTACATTCATATTGTCTAATTCTTTTACCAGTGTAGCACCGACATGATCTTTATTTGATAATTTGCTTTTAAAAAAAATTCAATTCCAAAAAGATTCCAAAAAAGGGAGGTGAGCTCTAGAGCATCCGTATTCATTCCTGTCGGTGAGTGTACGGTATGTATTTACTGTTATCATTCCCTTCCCCGGACGTCTGACTGTATTGTGTTACGAGTTCAGTTACCGCCTGTCGGTCTATCTTGCGTTTTACGCTTAAAGATCACCATGCGCACTGATCGTACCTAATCATTTCACAGACTGATTAATCTGAAACAGAAGCAATTTCGATATTTATTTGTTTAAAGATGCAACACGGAAAATGGTATCGATGTATAATGTTGTTCAGTGCATGAAGTTAGATACTGGAATATATCAACAGAGGTCTATCAATTATTTACAACCTCCGTGTAGCCTACATTACAATGCTCTCAACATACTGTGATACTGTAATAGTGTATAGCTTTACAATGTATGTATTAATTTGTGTATTTAACAGATATAGCGTTAGTCGTACACTTTAAACATCACTGTGAACAATGTATTTAAAGTGTAAAATATTATCTGTATATGTTATAGTACATATTTATCACGTGCAGATAGGAACCAGATATATGCTTGATAAATGCTTGACAAGAACCACATAAATGCTTGATATTAGTTTGATCTATGTTTGAGAAGAACCAGATCTTATGCTTGACATATGAATTATAGTTATGATTGACGGTGTGCTTGACACGAGCAAGACGTACCCGAATTATGCTTGACTCTAAAAAGATGCTATGCTTGACATCGCTCTGATCCTATTCTTCACTCACAAGCCAGATTAAAGAGGATCGGTTGGACCATGCAAATAGAAAATATTGTATTGTACATGATTTGTCAAATGGCAGTAATACCAAAATATTTTGTACGTTCGAGCACATATTATAATAAGATGTACTTCAATAAATCGTACTATCCTATGGTTGTGACAGTTGTGTGTTTCCCTTTGTCTCTAACCCGAGTACAGTGCCTGTGATAGGAGTGCAGTTCTAATTGATGAGGGTGAAAGTGTTTGAAGCGCCATGAAAATGTCACTGTGTGCTGTCAATGCCGTCTTAGTGCTGGGGGCTGGGTGCTGGATGCTGGGGGCTGGTGGTGGATGGTGGGTGCTGGGTGCTGGGTGCTGGATGCTGGGGGCTGGTGGTGGATGGTGGAAGGTGGATGGTGGGTGCTGGGTGCTGGGGGCTGGTGGTGGATGGTGGATGGTGGATGGTGGATGGTGGATGGTGGATGGTGGGTGCTGGGGCTGGGGGCTGGTGGTGGATGGTGGGTGCTGGGTGCTGGATGCTGGATGCTGGATGCTGGGGAGCTGGTGGTGGATGGTGGATGGTGGATGGTGGGTGCTGGGTGCTGGGTGCTGGGTGCTGGGTGCTGGAGGTGCTGGATGCTGAGGGGCTGGTGGTGGATGGTGGATGGTGGGTGCTGGGTGCTGGGTGCTGAAGGGCTGGTGGTGGATGGTGGATGGTGGATGGTGGAGTGCTGGATGCTGGGTGCTGGATGCTGGATGCTGGGGATGCTGCTGAGTGGTGGATGGTGGATGGTGGAGTGCTGGGGCTGGTGGTGGATGGTGGTGGGGAGCTGGTGGTGGATGGTGGAGTGCTGGGTGCTGGGTGCTGGATGCTGGGGGGAGCAGGTGGTGGATGGTGGATGGTGGATGGTGGGTGCTGGGGTGCTGGGGCTGGGGAGCTGGATGCTGGGGAGCTGGTGGTGGATGAGTGGATGGTGGGTGCTGGGTGCTGGGTGCTGAGGGGCTGGTGGTGGATGGTGGATGGTGGGTGCTGGGTGCTGGGGCTGGTGGTGGATGGTGGATGTTGGATGTTGGGTGCTGGGTGCTGGGTGCTGGGTGCTGGATGCTGGAGTGCTGGATGCTGGATGCTGGGGCTGGTGGTGGATGGTGGATGGTGGAGTGCTGGGAGGAGCTGGTGGTGGTGGATGGTGGGGGCTGGTGGTGGATGGTGGAGTGCTGGAGTGCTGGGTGCTGGATGCTGGGGGCTACAGGGGCTGAGGCTGGTGGTGGATGGTGGATGGTGGATGGTGGATGGTGGGTGCTACTGGAGTGCTAGGAGCTGGATGCACTGAGGGCTGGTGGTGGATGGTGGATGGTGGATGAGTGGTAGGTGCTGGAGTGCTGGGGGGCTGAGTGAGTGGATGGTGGGTGCTGGAGTGCTGAGGGCTGGTGGTGGATGGTGTGGGTGCTGGGTGCTGGAGTGCTAGGGGCTAGGGAGCTAGTGGTGGATGGTAGGTGCTGGGTGCTGGGTGTTGGGTGCTGGATGCTGGGGAGCTGAGTGGTGGATGAGTGGGGAGCTGGATGGTAGAGGAGCTGGATACTGGAGTGCTGGATACTGGAGTGCTGGATGCTACAGGTTGCTGAAGTGAGTGGATGGTAGGTGCTAGAGTGCTGGGTGCTGGAGTGCACTGGGGTGCTGGATGCTGGATGCTGGAGGCTGGATGCTGGAGTGCTGGATGCTGGGGAGCTGGATGCTGAGGGGCTGGTAGTGGATGGTGGATGGTGGATAGTGGAGTGCTGGAGTGCTGGAGTGCTGGGTGCTGGAGTGCTGGTGCTGGGTGCTGGGTACTGGTGGTGGATGAGTGGATGGTGGAGTGCTACAGGTGCTGGAGTGCTGGGAGGCTGGTGGTGGATGGTGGATGGTGGATGGTAGGTGCTGGAGTGCTGGGGCTGGTGGTGGAGTGCAGGTGAGTGCTGGGTGCACTGAGGGCACAGAGAGCTGGTGGTGGATAGTGGATAGTGGGGAGCTGGATGGTGGGGAGCTGGATGGTAGGGGCTGGATGCTGAGGAGGCTGGTGGTGGATGCTGAGGGAGCTGGATGCTGGGGGCGCTGGATGCTGGGGGGCTGGATGCTAGGGAGCTGGTGGTGGATGGTGGATGGTGGATGGTAGGGGCAGCTGGAGTGCTGGGGAGCTGGATGCTGGGGGCTGGATGCTGGGGAGCTGGATGCTGGGGAAACTGGTGGTGGATGGTGGATGGTGGGGTGCTGGGTGCTGGGGAGCTGGATGCTGGGGGCTGGTGGTGGATGGTGGATGGTGGGGAGCTGAATACTGGGGAGCTGGATGCTGGGGAGGCTAGTGGTGGATGGTGGATGGTGGATGGTGGGGGCTGGATGGTGTGGGGGCTGGATGTGGTGGCTGGATGCTGTAGAGGCTGGTGGTGGTGGATGCTGGGGGCTGGATGCTGGGGAGCTGGATGCTAGGGACTGGATGCTGAGGGGTGGATGGTGGATGGTGGATGGTGGATGGTGGGGAGCTGGATGCAGGAGCTGGATGCTGGGGGGGCTGGATGCACTAAGAGCTGGTGGTGGATGCTGGGGGCTGGATGCTGGGGAGGCTGGATGCTGGGGAGCTGGATGCTGGGAGCTGAGTGGTGGATCGTGGATGGTGGGGAGCTGGAGTGCTGGGGAGCTGGATGCTAGGGGCTGGTGGTGGATAGTGGATGGTGGATGAGTGGATGCTAGGGGCTGGATGCTGGGGAGCTGGATGCTGGGGAGCTGGGTGCTAGAGGCTGGTGAGTGGATGCTGGGGAGCTGGATGCTAGAGGCTGGATACTAGGGAGCTGGATGCTGACTGAGGAGCTGGAGTGGTGGATGGTGGATGGTGGATGGTAGAGGGAGCTGGAGTGCTGGGGAGCTGGATGCACAGGGAGCTGGTGGTGGATGGTGGATGGTGGATGGTGGATGGTGGGAGCTGAATACTGGGGCGCTGGATGCTGGGGAGCTGGATGCTGGGGCTGAGTGGTGGATGGTGGATGGTGGGTGTGCTGGAGTGCTGGGGAGCTGGATGCTGGGGGCTGGTGGTGGATGGTGGATGAGTGGATGGTGGGGAGCTGAATACTGGGGAGCTGGATGCTGAGGGGGCTGGTGGTGGATGGTGGATGGTGGATGGTGGGAGGCTGGATGGTGGGGAGCTGGATGCTAGGGAGCTGGATGCTGAGGGGAGCTGGATGCACAGGGAGCTAGTGGTGGATGCTGGGGAGCTGGATGCTGGGGGCTGGATGCTGGGGGCTGGTGGTGGATGGTGGATGGTGGGGAGCTGGAGTGCTGGGGAGCTGGATGCTAGGGGCTGGTGGTGGATGGTGGATGGTAGGGAGCTGGATGGTGGGGGCTGGATGCTGGGGCTGAGTGGTGGATGGTGGATGGTGGGGGCTGGGTGCTAGGGGCTGGATGCTGGGGAGCTGGATGCTGGGGGCTGAGTGGTGGATGGTGGATGGTGGGGAGCTGGATGGTGGGGGAGCTGGATGGTAGAGGGCTGGATGGTAGGGAGCTGGATGCTGGGGGGGCTGAGTGGTGGATGGTGGATGGTGGATGGTGGATGGTGGCTGGTGGTGGATGCTAGGGGCTGGATGCTGGGGGCTGGATGCTGGGGGCTGGTGGTGGATGGTGGATGGTGGATGGTGGGTGCTGGGTGCTTGGAAGTAACTGATTCGGTAACAACACAGGGGGCCCAGTCTCAGTCAGATACCACACGCTCGCCTCAAACTACCTGATCGTGCTCAAAATAACTTGAGCAAAAATACGTGATGTTATTAGACTCCATCACGTCAGTGTCTCCTTCAATCTAATTAACGTGGAAATGTCAAAAATATCACAAAAGCAAGGTTTCCACAAGTTGGAAATATCGACTTTAAAGTTTAAGGATAGGATAGAAAATATATAATGCCTCCGAAAACGCTTATGAATAAAATAATACTTCAAATTGTAGAAACAAACGATACCACAAATATATATTCATATAAGAGGCTGTTTATTTTTTATATATCACACCAAAACTGGCATTATGAGATAAACAGTTCAAGTTTCCTTACCCACTACGCTTCATTCAAGTTTTCACTGGAAAGAGAATCATATATCACGAACATGAGGAACAAACAACAAATAAGAGTCTACTTCAAATTTAGAGCTTCGCTAACAATCTTTAAGATAAACAAGCTAAGAACCAATAAAGATACAACGGCAATCAACCCCATCTGTGAACTTTGTATTCATAACCTTAATGAAGATGAGAACCATGTATTTTTTGTTTGTGATAAGTATAATCAAGCCAGAACTCTATATCTACAGAAGCTACAATCAGTCTACAGAGGCCCACTTACCATTCAGGCAATTTTCATGTCACAAAATAGTAATGTACAGCATCTAACAGCTATCTATCTCAATGAGATATTCAAAATAAGATCAATATGAAACTCAAATGTTTATGATCACGTGTAATCTAAATTGTATATGTCAACTGTATCATAGGTCTTATGGCCCAAATACTACTTAATAAACTTCTCTCTCTCTCGGCTGTTTATTTTTGTTATTTAGGCTCATGGTTTCAATTTACTGAGCAGATGCAAAAGCATGTTGATGTTACAATACCCTTTAATGTCAATAATGGATTTGTTGGACTTACAAATTAGTGAGGTATAAGAAATGTGTTTCTGTAGTCGCTTACATTTGTCTATCTCGTGATGCACACAACCTTTCTACATTGTTCGTTAACGCGGAGATGCTCCACCCAATGATGTTATGGCATGGGGAACATGCGACGTAACGCAAGCACCCTAGATATGCTCATGTAATGATAACGAAACTTCATCGGTAGTAATGATGGAATGTGCAGAAAGCCGTCCGATATAAAACGTTTATATATATTTCAATTATTAATTGGTTTATAAAATTGTACTCAAGACATTTCTATTCAATTCGAAACGTCAACGTAAACGATAATCTCTCCGTGTCAGTGATCAGCAGTAATGCGTTATAGACTAAAGTATCACCGTAAACCTAATCATCCCGGACCGTTACACGGCCCTGAGGAGTAGTTAACTGGATAATAGTTTCTCGACATACTGTCTACCTCTAAACATTGCTTCCCTGAATATCTAGATGCAAGGTTAATTTCGGCTTGTTATTTTTGTAGAGATACTGGTTATATTGTAAGATGATGTATCTTAAATTATTTCCACTATTTTCTTTTGCACTATTTCATACTGCATTACTGATATTGTCTTGAGCTACAATGCTAATCTAGATATCCACCTATGGTTCCAAGTTCGGTTGTGTAATGGCCAAATCTCAAAACACTGGCTATCTCAAAATGTCCAGTTCTGTTGTCCAGTTCAAATATCACTAATTTAATCTCTATTTTTCAAGTCTCTCCGGTCCCTTCATTTTGGTCACCCGTGAAGACCAGGGTTAGAATTGATCTTCAGTAACCCATGCTTGTTGTAAGAGGCGACTAACGGGATCGGGTGGTCAGGCTCGCTGACTTGGTTGACACATGTCATCGTATCCCAATTGTGTAGATCAATGCTCATGCCGTTGATCACTGGATTGTCTGGTGTAGACTCGAGTATTTACAGACCACCGCCATATAGCTGGAATATTGCTGAGTGCGACGTAATACTAACTCACTCACTCACTCATTTTGGTGAGTCACATCCCAATATCTGTAAAAGAGCTTCAGTTTCAATTGCTGACAAACAGACCTTTACACCTGGACAACTGCTGAGCAACAGACCTTTACACCTGGACAACTGCTGACCAACAGACCTTTACACCTGGACAATTGCTGACCAACAGACCTTTACACCTGGACAACTGCTGACCAACAGACCTTTACACCTGGACAATTGCTGAGCAACAGACCTTTACACCTGGACAACTGCTGACCAACATACCTTTACACCTGGACAATTGCTGACCAACAGACCTTTACACCTGGACAATTGCTGGGCAACAGACCTTTACACCTGGACAATTGCTGACCAACAGACCTTTACACCTGGACAATTGCTGACCAACAGACCTTTACACCTGGACAACTGCTGAGCAACAGACCTTTACACCTAGACAACTGCTGACCAACATACCTTTACACCTAGACAACTGCTGAGCAACAGACCTTTACACCTGGACAACTGCTGAGCAACAGACCTTTACACCTGGACAATTGCTGAGCAACAGACCGTTACACCTGGACAATTGCTGAGCAACAGACCTTTACACCTGGACAACTGCTGAACAACAGACCTTTACACCTGGACAATTGCTGAGCAGCAGACCTTTACACCTGGACAATTGCTGACCAACAGAACTTTACACCTGGACAATTGCTGACCAACAGACCTTTACACCTGGACAACTGCTGACCAACAGACCTTTACACCTGGACAATTGCTGACCAACAGACCTTTACACCTGGACAATTGCTGATCATCAGACCTTTACACCTAGACAATTGCTAACCAACAGACCTTTACACCTGGACAATTGCTGACCAACAGACCTTTACACCTGGAAAATTGCTGACCAACAGACCTTTACACCTAGACAATTGCTGACCAACAGACCTTTACACCTGGACAACTGCTGACCAACAGACCTTTACACCTGGACAATTGCTGGGCAACAGACCTTTACACCTGGACAATTGCTGACCAACAGACCTTTACACCTGGACAACTGCTGAGCAACAGACCTTTACACCTAGACAACTGCTGACCAACATACCTTTACACCTAGACAACTGCTGAGCAACAGACCTTTACACCTGGACAACTGCTGAGCAACAGACCTTTACACCTGGACAATTGCTGAGCAACAGACCGTTACACCTGGACAATTGCTGAGCAACAGACCTTTACACCTGGACAACTGCTGAACAACAGACCTTTACACCTGGACAATTGCTGAGCAGCAGACCTTTACACCTGGACAATTGCTGACCAACAGAACTTTACACCTGGACAATTGCTGACCAACAGACCTTTACACCTGGACAACTGCTGATCATCAGACCTTTACACCTAGACAATTGCTAACCAACAGACCTTTACACCTAGACAATTGCTGACCAACAGACCTTTACACCTGGAAAATTGCTGACCAACAGACCTTTACACCTGGACAATTGCTGATCATCAGACCTTTACACCTAGACAATTGCTAACCAACAGACCTTTACACCTAGACAATTGCTGACCAACAGACCTTTACACCTGGAAAATTGCTGACCAACAGACCTTTACACCTGGACAATTGCTGACCAACAGACCTTTACACCTGGACAACTGCTGACCAACAGACCTTTACACCTGGACAATTGCTGATCAACAGACCTTTACACCTGGACAATTGCTGACCAACAGACCTTTACACCTGGACAATTGCTGACCAACAGACCTTTACACCTGGACAACTGCTGACCAACAGACCTTTATACCTGGACAACTGCTGACCAACAGACCTTTACACCTGGACAATACCCCAAAACTAAACTGACCGGTTCATACAGATAACAAGCTATTTTGCCATAAACGGCTTCGAATGAGATTAAACGGTATGGTAACGGACATAAAGCACAAAAACGTACTTCTTATGAGACGAATAATAATCAATAAAATAAAGGTAGTGATAAACGGGATTGACACGATTGAAAACATGTTTCGTGCATAACACAAGTTTATCATTAATACGTAACCCCCACGAGTATGTTACCCAACCATCCCTCAAAGTACTGGTGAACAACGCGTCAGTGTCCAGTAGATGGAGTGTCAGCCCGCTGAGCAGATGGTCAGTGGTTCGAATCCCGGCCCTATACCAACCGAAAACGCTAAAAGGTAGCACTGTATGGTCCTCCCACCGACAGACAGACAGACATGTACGTGCGCGTCGTTTTCTGCAATAATCTTGAAGGCGGCGTTGAACTCGTATTTGTGCTTGTCATCAACGTCTAAGGCCTACACAACCCCCAGTAACCAAGATCAAGCCGCCATAACACTGAAAGCGGCGTCACAAACATACAGAGGGAATGAGGTATAAACAGAGGAATATGAATTTCAACTTTATGATTACTTCGTAATTTGGTAAACAGGCTCTATGTGGTCCGTGTGAAGCGTGCCAGTCTTACAACTGACCGCTTTATAGCCTAGTAGAGACTTTATTTATTACTGAGACATTGAGTTCCAGTCCAAAAGGTGAATCCAGAGTATTTCCACAAATTCTATTTTTATGACCAGAGTGCCGTTGTACAAAACAACCTTAGCGCTACGACAGTCGTAACTCTATGTTACGGTCACCTAAGCCCTTAGATCGCTTTGTACAAGGGCAATCAGTGCCGTCGTGCGTTAAGCACTTTAAAACCTTGTTGTCTTTTGCCAACAGCATTTGACCTAACTTAATAGACACAAGAAAATAGCAACAACCCAGCGTTCTTAAAAGGGTTCAATTAATGGTACACAACCCATGTCGCGACTTGGACTTGTAATGGTTGCCCCTCTCAAAGACGTGGTGAAGCTAAACGGCGTCTCTGTGATAGCCAGGCTGTTAAGTCGTGGTAAGTTTTCTCTTGTCAATTACCACTAGCCTATCCCCACTCCCGCAAGCTGGTACCACGGTCGACTGCCTGGACGAGTGGACACAAACCCCATGCAAGAATACGTTCAGCAGATTAAAGTTAGGTCGTCAAATTCTGCTTTGATGAAATACATACGTGAACGCCAGAAAGCAACCAGCTTCAGTTATCGGACGAAACAGAATCGTTACGTCGTCACAGGTGAAATATTAGTAAAGGTTCCATTCATGGATCACTGGTAATCAGTGAGAGATGTGTAAACCTGTGTAAAGACGTGTAAAGGGTGGGACTTCTCTGTCCTACCGACAAACACTTCATGAGTTTACACAATTACACAATTTCCTTGCATTCGTGTAAAATCCTAACTCTACCGATATTAGCGATCTTGGGGCTAAGGTGATCGTAAAAGCATATCCACTCAAAGCTTACCATATAAATATACTAACCTCATGTAGTTGATGTAAAAATGCCAGCGACAGAACACCATTACATCAGGACCCATCACTTGTGTACAGATAGGTACTTTAAGGTTAAAAGAACGTAGACGTAATTATAGTACAGAACAATGGAATAGTGCCTATCCCGGATTCAATCATATAAAGCATATATTAACAATATCAGTAAATGCGCCATCGTGTCACTGGATGTTCTGGTGTATCACTTGATTGTCAGGTTTCTGATTAGGTGCTGTCGAGGAATTAGGTGCTGTCGAGGTGTCTGTTTCACGCAAATTGCCTGGATGGGTGTCACTACCAGGAGAGGAGGAGCCTTACCCTTTATACGAACACCTGGGGTAAGCACTGACTTACTGACTTTCAGTGATCTGTCCACATAACGTTCCTTCTTCTTTGCCATTTATGGAGAAGGTTTCCTCTGATTATCGATGTGGTATATCTACATGATTGTGTTACATTTACATGAGTGTTATATTTACATGATTGTTATATTTACATGATTGTTATATTTACATGAGTGTGTTACATTTACATGATTGTTATATTTACATGATTGTGTTACATTTACATGATTGTGTTATATTTACATGATTGTTATATTTACATGATTGTGTTACATTATATGATTGTGTTATATTTACATGATTGTTATATTTACAAGATTGTGTTACATTTACATGATTGTGTTACATTACATGATTGTTATATTTACATGATTGTTATATTTACACGATTGTATTACATTTACATGATTGTCTTACATTTACATGAGTGTTATATTAATATGATTGTTATATTGACATGATTGTGTTATATTGACATGATTGTGTTATATTTACATGATTGTAACATTTACATGATTGTGTTACATTTACATGATTGTGTTGTATTTACATGATTGTGTTATATTTGCATGATTGTGTCATATTAACATGGTCGCCTACACTTTTCGAGTCATACATTGGTCACAACATTTACCGAAAAAAAGACACGGTGGAAAAAGACAAAATAAACATAAACGCGACTTGTATGTACACATACTGCAGGTGTTATAAGAGAACAGGAAACTTGTCGACTAAAACCATATCCCTATTCAGTGTAAATCAATTAAAATCCCACCTTTAATGTATTGATTTTTAAACGATATAAAATGTTTGCCAAGCGTTGCTATAAACATGAGTTTGGAAGCGTAACGAAATCAAAATTGTGTTTATTGACGATTCGGGTGGCCAGATGCAGAGAGGACAGTACCCGAGGAATTGGGTGCGTGGGATAATATCTCCGACAGGGACCGTTATCGACTGATGCCAAGTGAACCATTGTACCTGAGTCTCAGAATGTACATGACAGGCATTTAGCGTGTCTTCCTCCACAGTGGCCTACTCCACCCCATTAAGTTCTGTGTAGGATGCTAGTTGTCTATTGTGTCCGGTATTGAGTGGTTTGTTAGCAATTATGGCGAAGCGGTACCACAATGAAACTCCATGGAGAGTAATAGTCCATGACAACATGTGATGTCGTCATGGAAGCAACAATACTTGTTGCTTGCTGACGACAACAGCAGTGAAGCGTGGTGGAAATTCTATCGATAAGCAGACACAGTTCCTACATATCTTTTATTAACTAGGATCATAATAATTATTTTAAAAAACATCACACCTTGCAACAATGTCATTTTTAGAGAGAAATTCAATTTTACTCACATTCAGTTTTTACGCTTTTCGATTAAAATCCCAGGCCTCACCTTCTCATGGCAGCATACACATGATTATCACGTACAGTGTTGTATTGAAATATCAGACGTGGATAAGTCACTTGGAAATACCCAGACCTATGTTGGGCACCTCCTAAATGTGTGAGTGTGGTTGTGTAGTTGTGTGTGTCTCTCTGTGTGTGTATCTGTGTGCATTCCAGATTTATGTTGGGCACCTGCTAGTTGTATGTGTGTGTGGTTGTATAGTTGTATGTGTGTGGTTGTGTGTGCGTGTGTGTGCGCGCACACGTATTTCAGATTAATGTTGGGCACCTACTAGTTGTCTGTATGTGGTGTGGTTTTCTGTGTGTGTGTGTGTTCCGGATTTATGTTGGGCACCACCTAGCTGTATGTGTGTGTGGTTGCGTTGTTATGTGTCTGAATGTGTGTGTCTGTATTCCAGATTTATGTTGGGCACCTCCTAGTTGTATGGTTGTGTGTATGTGGTGTGGTTTTGTGTGCGTCTCTCTCTCTGTGTGTATCTGTGTGCATTCCAGATTTATGTTGGGCACATCCTAGTTGTATATGTGCGTGGTTGTATAGTTGTGTGTGTGTGTGTGTGTGTGTGTGTGTGTGTGTGTGTGTGTGTGTGTGTGTGTGTGTGTGTACACACGCGAGAATTCCAGATTTATGTTGGGAACCTCCTGGTTGTGTGTATGTGGTGTGGTTTTGTGTGTGTGTGTATGCATTCCAGATTTGGCTTTGACCTAGTTGTGTGTGTGTGTGTGTGGTTGTGGAGGTGTGTGTGTGTGTCTCTCTCTCTCTCTCTGTGTCATTCTCTCTGTGTCTGTCTGTCTGTCTGTCTGTCTCTCTCTCTCTCTCTCTCTCTCTCTCTCTCTCTCTCTCTCCGTGTTTTAGACTTATGTTGTTTACGTCCCAGGTACGCCACCCACCAATTCATTCAATAAAAAACCTAATAAGATTAGGACGACGTCAGCGCAAGTGTACTGTACAGGAAGTAGACCGTTAAGGATACTTCCTTTTGGTTCAGCAAAACCATCCACGGCAAGTGCACCAAGTGGAAATCGCCGTAGACAGGAATGTTAATTAAGGTGATTGTTGGTTTGAATTTATACATTTCTATCATATGTTTTTTTCTGAATCCAATACATGCACAATGACTGTATCGTTACCAATTGGTACACGGAAGTTGACCCGGTATGGATACAGTATAAAGATAACAGCTGTGGTACTGAAGAAGTATAGTCACTGTGGCTGTCACAATTGTACACTTAACATTATCATTGATATGTTATTGTAAATGGCATTATTAATATATCATTGATGATTATTATCGAATAAATGGCAGAACGGTGGTTTGGTTTATATTCATTAGTTGTACCTTGTGTTGTTAATAATGATATATTAAACACTCCACTTTGTTGAATTCGTGATACTTTATATGACAAGCTGTGTCATAGCACACACCTTTTTCGTGAACACCTGAACACCTGGTGTTACCAGTAACTGTAGAGACATAAGGGACGGTTGTTGAAGGAGTTACCTGCTCTTGTATAGCGGGGCAGGGTGGAGGGGGGCAAGGTTGTCTCCCTGTGGGGATCCCGACAGAGCAGGTTCAGTGTATCTAGACACGGGTCTAGAAACACTATGACTATGGGCCTTTCCATTATATTCTTACCCAGGGAGTTGGAGAATCTTCTGGAGTCTTTTTCTTAGGTATATCCAGAGCTAACTCTTGCCTTTCACCTCACATTACGTCCCAGGTTATATAGTATGACCAGCACCCTTATCCTGGATACTTGGCCAGTCAGGTTCATATTGCCATGTTTGCCTTTATTGTTATAACCATTGCTTTTGTATTATTGCTTTGAATTTGTACCGCCACTGACTTTTGTACTACCACAGTAATACTAGTATATATATATAGTGATTTGTATTAATTTGTCAGTTTTAAAATACAATTGTTAATTCAAAATGATTTATTGTTTGTTGGTTTAACACAAAGTTCCTTTTACGAAACGATTCCCGTCTAACTTTAAGTTTGAACTTGGGTATCAATACGTAACAATGTGAAGTTGACTTAAAATAATGACGACATTACTACATTTGTATTGCCTCAGGTAAAGTGCATGGACCCTGGGTGATGCGTTTCTCCTCCACACACCTTGATGTGTGTCAGCGTCAGACGACCTCCCAACATACACAGACTCACTTTAGGACATACAGATAAACAAAACGTTAACAGAAACAGGTAATGTCCAATAAAAGACACGGTAGACAGTGGGCGGAACGAGCTGAATCAGTCAATTAAAGGCTCCGAGAGAACAGACCAGGAGACGACCTACCCTGTAAGGCGACCACGTCAGTTAGTACACACTGTATACCTACAGCAATAAGCTCTAACACTCAAAGAGGGGCGGGGCCTTTAGGTAATGGTAGGTGAACAAGGTCGGTCACTCTAGGGTGGAGTCTCTGTCAGGTAGAGACAATAACAGGGGTGTAAGGCAATCAATGTTTGTTGTGAAACACGGTGGCACTTGGTGAGTGATCTTGTTGGGGCTTTCATAATACACGTGCATATTAATGTCACGTTTCAGACATGTCGCAGCTAGTTGTGAAAGTAATTATATTGGCGATGTAGTCGCGGTGCTGTTGCATAGAGTTTTTGCGTCAATTATATTATTCAAGTTGGTCAAAATATACAACTGCTTTTGATCTATTTCATGAAAGATAGATAAATATCTGCTGTATATTGGTTTTGAACATCACTTGGCTGGAACCCAGAACACTAATGTTTTGTTAGTCCTTTCAGTGACTGCCATGAGTGAAGGAACGAGTTTGTGGGGGGATGGGTGAGTGAGGGAGTAAGGGTTCAGCTTTCAGCAATGTTCCAGCTACAATAGATCCAATAGACGGGTTGAACTCACGCATTGTCCACAGCTAACGTTTTAACCACTAAGATACCTAACCATCCTTTACAATACATTAACATGGCTATCGTATGACTTTAGCCTGTATGCTCTGTTACATTGTCACGTATTTTGTCATGTATGTATGTTCTACTAGGATGACTCACCTTTACCATGACGTTAGTCTGTATGTTATACTAGGAGGACTCACATATACCATGACGTTAGTCTGTATGTTATACAAGGATGACACGCCTATATCCTGACGTTAGGCTGTATGTTATACAAGGATGACACGCCTATATCCTGACGTTAGGCTGTATGTTATACAAGGATGACTCACCTATATCCTAACGTTAGTCTGTATGTTATACAAGGATGACACGCCTATATCCTGACGTTAGGCTGTATGTTATACAAGGAT